CTCATTGCTTATATGCTAAAACTTTCGGATTATAGTTTGCCCAGTCCTTAATTTCTCAGCTTGATACCCTTTGGGAATTCAATCCTCGTTTTGGTACATGATAATGACTGTTTGACACCAGCTTATTTTCAGATCCAAAAACAAGCAGCTGCTCTCCTCTCGTCTCCTGGTCATATACAGGAAAAACCTGAAGGATTGTTCACTAGTTTTAGGCAATCAAAAAATCTATTGCCTGTGCCAAAACTTGGCAGATTTGCCATTTCCATATCTTCAAACCAGTACAATGGAGCCTGTCAAGGTAGGTTCTTGCAAAGGATTGCTTTGCCCTGTGAACGTTCCAAATTCTGCAACAATGGATCAAAACTTCCACCTGGAAATCGGTCTATGGAATCCTACCGTATCTATGTACTTGGGTCTCCCATTTCTGACTATGGTAACTCCGAAACACGGTTTATATGGTAATGCTGTTGGTTTCATGATTACAAAGCTGTACGCCCCAGGGAAGACATTTGCTCTGTAAAGACGGGTTTGTGGAGAAGACTTGAGAATCCTCCTGCATATGGATGATGAAAGAACAGATGACACTCTTGGGATGGCAGTTCAAGTTTACTTTAGCTGCATCACCGGGACGAAAACTGCAATCATGTACAAGGGTGGATTGCTATTTGTGGACGAGGGGCTCCATATAATGATGAAGACAACAACAAATGGATGATTTTGTATCTGGTGTACATGGAATATCTCATGGAAATTTGATAATTTTGAGGAAAGCCTCGCTCTACTTTACTCGATGAAGAAAAAGCTCCATCTTACTCTAACAATAGTTGGTACAAGTGAGAAAGAATGGGAAGAAACAGGTGAAACAATCATCTTTAACACTTCACTTTTTTGTACTGTCTTCATTTGTTCCTGTAACAGGCCAACGGTGGCAGAACTACTCATGATAACCTCATTATTATTTTTAATGCAGGTTAGTTGAATACAAGGATTGAAGTGAATTTATTATAAATATCTTGTAATCTTGTATAACAATTTAAAACTTTAAACTCTTGATTGAGATGCTTTTTTTTGATAGGATGGTGAAATCTAAAAAATCAAATGATTATAAAATTATTACCATCATTATTTCTAATTACTTATTAACTTAAATTCTTGGATTAAAATGATTTTTTTAAAAATTTATGCTTGACTGCATTCGTGTAACGAAGCATATGGAGGATGCAAATGTAAACAATCTACAAAGTTTTTAGAATTCAATTCCTTTTTCTTTTGAGAGAATTGTAATGGTGCAAGTGTTGGGTACTCTTTTCTTGAGGTTTTATTAAGCAATGATATCATATTATCATTTCCTGAAATCATATGATAAGATGATTTAGAGCATTTTTGTGTCCAGCAATCATTAATATATTGGCATGGATTCTAAATTGGGGGTTTGGGATTGCCGTGAAAATGGAGGTTGGATAAAATTTAATTTTTTTTATTATTTGAAATTTAATTTTTGGATTCTAAATTGGGGGTTTGGGATTGCCATGAAAATGGAGGTTGGATAAATTTTTTTATATATATATTTAAATTATTTTGATGTGAAGATATTAAAAATAATTTTTTTAAAAAAATAATAAAAATATTATTTTAATATATTTTTAAGTAAAAAATATATCAATTTTTTTTTATATTTACCATTCACAACTAAGCAATTCGAATCAACCATCTTTATATATAAAAAAATAATAGATATGTAGAATGGCAGCCTTCTTCAGCCAGTGGGCTTAGCTTGTTCATAAATATATTTATTGTTGTTTTTTAAATAATTTTTTATATTAAAATATATATTAATATTAATATTTTTTATTTTTTAAAAATTATTTTTAACATTAATATATCAAAATAATTTAAAAATATTAATAATATATTAATTTAAAATAAATAAAAAATAAAATTTTTATTTTTTTAAAATAGTTTTGGAATACAGAAAAAATATATGGCTGGGGGGGGTGTATTATTAGCTCAATGAACCCAATTAACTTACTATAGTCTTGCCAAACCTTTTATAAACTCATTTGAATCAACTCCATGAATTTTCTTTTTATTTTTTTAAAAAGAATAAACATCTTTATTTTATATAAAAATAATTAACTTGAGTAACTCGATAATTGAGTAATTCATTTCTTTTACTAGACTAAAAACTAGACCAAAACTAATGGCTATGGTCAACAAGATAGATTAAAAACTTAAAATTGACTCAATTAAAGATATAATTATACATTAAAAAGTTATATTATTATATAAGAACCCTATTTTTTCCCCTTTAATTTTGAGTTTAAATGAGATTCAATTTTTCCAAACACTTTAATCAATTTTTTTTAAAAAAAAAACAATAAGTCTGGTAAAATCTTTAATTTCTGGATTTACTCTTGAATATTTAACAGATTTTATTAATGGGTGTAAAGTGGATCAAAGGGCAGAGTTGAAAAATTTCTCAATTAATTTATTTGAGAGTTGGATCATATGATTCAGTTCAAAATCTAGATGGATTTACCATCTAGTTGATTTGATAAAAATTTGAGCTATTTTTTTTAAATAATATTATTTTTTAAAATAAAAAAATATTATTTTAAAAATTTAAATCAACTCTAATTAACTAGAATAACTCATAATTTAAGCCTACAAGAACTATATTGAAAATATATATAAGCTATATTAGGAAAATTGAAAGAATACAAATATAAATAAGAAAGCGATTGAGTTGTTTTTAAAGTGTTTTATAATTAAAAATTATTAAAAATATGTATTTTTAAAAATTTATTTTTAATATTAGGATATTAAAATAATTTTAAAATATTAAAAAAAATTAAGTTTTTTTTTTTTTTTAAAAAAATCAGATTAAAACTCCATATAAAACCACCTTTTAAGTCATTAATCCTTTAAGTTTCTCTTCTAACAAAATACAAACCCTTCAGCTGGCATTTCAATAAATTTCATGAAAGAAAGACCAAGAGATTCTGTAGAGTGAAGAAAGATGACGGCTATGTCTCGAGCAACTGGTTTGCTTACTAAAAATCCCATATTTCGTCTTCAACAGCAAATGGGTATGCCCTTCTTTTCCTCATTTCCCTTCTCTACTACTTGCAGTAGCAGCAGCACTGATAAGGTATCCTTTAGTAACATTGATGACGCCTTAGCTTTTTTCAATGACATGCTTAGCAAGAACCCTCGGCCTAGTACTTATGATTTTAATCAGTTACTGTCTGCAGCTATGAGGATGAAAAAACATGAGACAGTAGTTTCTTTGTCCAAAGAAATGGAACTTAGAGGACTTAAACATAATGTCTTCACGCTCACCATATTGATTAACTGTTTCTGTCACTTAAACCGTGTTGATTTTGGATTCTCTGTGTGGGGAAAAATTCTTAAACGTGGTTTTGAGCCGGATGTTGTAACGTCTACTACCTTAGTAAATGGGCTCTGTAAAGAAGGTAAAATGGGTGAAGCTGTGAAATTGGTTGATGATATGGTGGAAAGAGGGTATAGACCTGGTGCATATACTTATAGTGTGGTAATAAATGGTCTTTGTAAAGTTGGGAAAGCTGATGTGGCTGTTGGATATCTTGAGGAAATGGAAAAGCTAGGTTGTGTGCTGGATACTGTTGCTTACAATTCGGTAATTGAGGGATATTGTTTGCAAGGAAAAGTAGATGAAGCTAGAGAGGTATTTGATGTGATGGTGAGTAAGGGCACTACGCATGATGTTTGTAATTATAACACCTTGCTTAATGGATATTGTAAGATGGAAAGGGTAGACGAGGCAATGCAAGTTTTTGATGAAATGTTGAGAGAAGGTTTGGTTCCTACTGTAGTTACTTACAATACTCTGATAAAAGGTTTGTGTCGAGTGGGGAGACCTTGGGCTGCACATCAGCTTTTCAGGAACATCTCTGCTTGTGGCCTCACTCCAACCATAATAACTTACTCGACTTTGATTGATGGTTTCTGTGAACAAGGGAATCTTGATGAGGGGTGGGCAATATTTCAAGAGATGCAAAAGAGTGCTTTGAAGCCTAACTTGGTAGTCTACACCATCCTTATTGATGGTATGTGCAAGTGTGGGAAGCTTAAGTATGCTAAGGTATTGTTTTCTAGACTCATCGTGGAAGGATTTCAGCCTGATGTTCATACCTACACTGTGTTAATTGGTGGAATTTGTATAGAAGGATCCCTAATTGAAGCACTCAAACTTTTTAGAAAAATGGAAGAGGACGGCTGCACACCAAATGCTTGCTCCTATAATGTGATTATCCAAGGATTTCTCCAACACAAGGATACCTCAACAGCAATGCAGCTTGTCTGTGAAATGGTCAATCGGGGATTCTCTACAGATGCTGCCACCAGAACCTTACTGCTAGATCTACCCACCAATGATGGGAGTCCTGCTCTTAAAAATTTGCCAGGGCTCTGTGATGATCATCAAGATGTAAAGGTGAAGTAACCTTTGAATACTCAATGTTGCTTTGATTAATGCAGCAAATTAAAAGTTGTTTCTATTACCCTTGCAGCTTTTGTTGCATTTGGTTTCATGATTGGGAGTTTTCTCCACTAGCATTTAGGTCATATTTTCTCTGTAGAGTTGCGCCAGTGTCATCTTGCTGACCTTGTTGCCATTTATGCTTGTAACAAACAATATATTTTAACTGAATTTATGCAAACCAAGGAGGTTGGAAGACTGTGCGCACTTGTGCACTCGCCCATGGAAACTGCCGTGCCTTTAGCTGCCCTGTCTCTACCTTCATAAATGAAACTAGCTGGAAAACGTCTATTCACTAGTGAAATTCCTGGCACTGTCATTTCTGAATAAACATGATTTATTGGGGTTTACATGCAGTGTAATCTGTATTGTTGTTGCTTTTATGAACATTCTGGTCCTTGCGGTCCTTACTTTATTTGACTGATTTTGATGATATAGGTGATTTCATTTTTTTAATTTCAGAATTATAAGTTGCTTGTTTTGTTCTCAACTGGTTGTGATTTTCATGAGTACTTCATTAAGACAGTTCTATCAATAGGAGGGGAGGAATTTTACTGGAATCTGCCAGTATAATTTAGTATTTTATTTTCTGATTATGGGGCCATAGTTGAAGCAGAAAAGAAGTCGCATTCAAATTCCTATTTGAGGTAGTCTTAGTGTCTAGCAGTACTTGCCATCAAAATATAAAGTTGCTTCACTCTTCATGCTTGTGTTTTCTGTATGCAAAGAGGTGAATGTTGCAGTTCATATGCATTCCCTGCATAGAAAAGTAATGAATATATGATATCAGATTCATGGAATTCAAACTTAACTCTCATTTTCCTCTAGGAGTATAAAATATAAGAGCTCCCATGGATTTCTGGGCTACAACTTAGGTCCCATTTGTCTGTTTCCTATCAGAACTCATGTGATCTATTACAACGAGTGCATGACCCACAGTGCTCTTAGATATAAAAATTTACAAAACCACCGTATTAGTTTAGTGCAGCTTCTGCCTTGGCCTTTCTGGAGTGATCAATCAAGAAGCTCTTCCATCAAAAAAGGGTAAGCTTGTTACTCAAAATACCATTACTCATTGCCAAAAGCTTATTTTTCTGGTTTCCAACACCTTGGGTGATGAAAAATTTCTAAAACAATTGACCTTTTTGGTGTATAAAATTGCATGAAATAAGCCTTGTCCTTGTAAAATGGGAGCTGTTTAAGGACAGCTTCCTAGAACCCAATTACCCTGTTTGTGTCTGCATTCCTTCCATTGTGCTCAAAGTCTACCTTCCAAGCTATTTCTGACCCCTGCTTGGATGCTGGAATGCAAAACCCTTTCTTCCACCAGCTCCTCCTCTCCACAAACAGGCAAATGCTTTTTTCCCGACCTTATCTCTCAATTGCAAATTTCTAAAAGTGTCTTCCAAATATCACTACATACCTGAGCCCTTCCCTTCCATAATCAAATTCATGATATTGGAAATAGGATCTTTTCAGGTGCTCTCGGCATGCCACTACTCTCACATGAAAGTAGAGATGGGTTTTCTTTGTATTTACACTTTGAGGGTTTTGTCAAGTGAATTTGTGGGTTCTGCATATATTTTATGTTGTTATTTAATTATTGGTCTCTTTTTGTGGAAGTTTTCATCAATAGGCTTTGACTTCTTTTTGGTATTTTGTGTTTGATCATGATACAGTCTTCCTGGATGGGGATTTTGGTTTCTTGTTTGTTGATTTTGGTTCTTACAGGATCAGGATTTTAGATTTTGGTTCTTGTTTATTTCATTTACATGCATGGTGTGCCTGCTCAGTGTAAGATTTTGGATTGGTGTTGGGTTTTGAGGTAGGTATTTATATGTCTTTGTACTTTGCTGTCAGTTCCTAACAATTTGGGTCTGTTTGCTCATAAATTGCTTGTTTTATGATTTCTATCTTCTTGTTCTTGTGCATAC